CTGAGCACAACACTTTTTCTCCTTGCTATAAATGATTTGGCCTCTAGTCTTCCATCCAATATTTGGTCATCACTCTATGTTGATGACTTCGCTATTGCCTGTGCAGGCGCTGACTGTCACCTCATTACAGTTTCTCTCCAGCATGCGGTCGACCGTGTTTCCAATTGGGCCACCACACATGGGTTTAAATTTTCCAGTACCAAAACTCTCCAAATTACTTTCACTAGACGCTCTGTTATCTCCAATCATCCTTTGTACCTCTATGGCTCCCGTATCCCTGAACGTGATAGCCAGGTTTCTAGGCCTCCTCTTTGACCGTAGGTTATCCTGGAAACCTCACATTACATCTCTGAAGGCAACTTGTCACAGCCGGCTGAACCTTCTTAAAACCCTTGCTCATCTTTCATGGGGAGCTGATCGTCGAACTCTCCTTCGCCTACATTCCACCCTCATTTTATCGAAACTTGATTATGTTGACCAGATCTATTCAGCGGCCTCTCCTGCTACTCTCTCTAGCCTTAACCCCATTCATCACCAAGGATTACGTTTATGCCTTGGTGCTTTTCGCTCTTCCCGTCGAGAGCCTCTATGCAGAAGCGAACGTTCCATTCTTATCTGATCGCCGTGATGCCCATTGCCTTCGCTACTATGTATGCTCTCATGATCTCCACAGTCCTTCCATTTATAGAATGGTCACCGATATTAGTAGACATTATTTGTTCGCCGCCCCTGTTTGCTCCGTCCCTTCTCGCTTCGCCTACGTTCGCTCTTGTCTTCTCTTCAATTACCACCTTTCTATGTTCATGTTGCATCTCACTTTTCCCTACCCCCCCCCCCCCCTGGGAAGGTCCAGCTGTTCGAGTCTGTTCTTTCTCACTCCCTTGCACGAAAGCCCAACTGTCTACGGTAGCTTCCCGCTCTTTTTCTTGACCACTTCCACTCTCATTCTCATGCCATTGCAGTGTACACAGATGGCTCTAAGTCTTCTGACTGCGTAGGATTCGCAGCAGTGCTTCCGGACAGCGTCGTATGAGGGCATTTACTATCTTCGGCTAGTATTTTTACTGCTGAATTGTATGCCATTCTTGCAGCACTTATCCGTATTGCATCTATGCCTGTGTCATCGTGTCTCAGACTCCCTTAGTGCTTTACAGGCTATACAGAAATTTGATACACCTCACCCCTTAGTCCTCCGTATCCAACTTTGGCTACGCCGCATTTCTACCAAACAAAGATAGTTTTTTGTTGGGTCCCTGGTCATGTTGACATACAGGGCAGTGAACAGGCAGACAATGCTGTGCGGTCAGCAGTACATGACCTACCAGTTTCACATAGAGGTGTTCCATTTACGGACTATTTTGCTGCAATAGATACCTTCACACCCATTGGCAACAACGTTGGTCTACTCTACTCAGTAACAAACTTCAATCTATTAAACCGAGTATAGGTTACTGGCCGTCTTCTTGTCACCAGTGTCGAGGTTGGGAGACTACTCCCGTCTTCGCATTGGCCATACTCGTCTTACTCGTGGATATCTCGTGGGGAGGCACCCTGCTCCTCTCTGTGAGAATTGTCAGTTTCCATTATCAGTCAGCCACATTCTGTTACTGTCCACTTTATCAATGAGCATGCAGAATTTACCTCCATCGTCGTCTTCGCTCCGCTGCTCTCTCTTTACCTTCCCTTTTCCCCTCAAGGAAGGTTCCTTGATGTTGGTGAGGGGCTCTTGATTTAGGGAATTGGATCTATGCTCCAGTTCCCCGAATTAAGCCTGAATGCCACATACTCCCCAGGCGCTGTATAATCCTCTGGGTTTAGCGCTTCCCCCTTGATTGTAATAATAATAATTACCTTCCCTTCTCGCAGATGGACCTACCTTTCATCCGAACTCTCTCATTGACTTTTTGACAACTGACTTCACAAACTCTGATGATACCTTCAGCCTTTTGTACCTCAGTCTCTTGCTACCCTCTACCCCTGCACTATTTGCCCCGCTGTTTTCTGTAACCTACTGATCATCCCTTCCCCTTTCTGCCACCCAATACCCTCGCTTCCTTCCCTACCCTGCAGCGCTTTATAGCCCTTGTGGCTTAGCGCTTCTTTTTTTTTATTATAATACTACTCTCTCTTTGCCTTCCCTTCCCTTCCCTTCCCTTCTTGCTGATGGACCCTCCTTTAGTCCTGACTCATCGACTTCTTGACAACTGACTCCACAAACTCTTGATAGCTTTTGCACTCCCCTCAGCCCTTTCTACCTCAATCTCGTTACCCTCTACCCCTGCACTATCCATTCCCCGCTGTTCTCTGTAACCTACTAATCATCTCCATTTTGCCACCTGGTAACTTCGCTTCCTACCCTGCAGTGCTGTATAGCCCTTGTGGTTTAGCGCTTCTTTTTGATAATTATATTATCGAAAATGGGAGAAATTCCCATGGACTTTATCAATAGAGAATGGGAACAATCATAGAAAATGGGAAATTTCCAGAAACGGGAGAGAAATTCCCATAGACTTTATCATTAGAGAATGGGAACAATCATAGAAAATGGGAAATTTCTGGAAGCGGGAGAGAAATTCCCATAGACTATCAGAGAATGGGAACAATCATAGAAAATGGGAAATTTCCGGAAATGGGAGAGAAATTCCCATATTTTCTATGTTCCCATTCTCTATTGATGAAGTCTATGGGAATTTCTCTCCCGTTTCTGGAAATTTCCCATTTTCTATGATTGTTCCCATTCTCTAATGATAAAGTCTATGGGAATTTCTCTCCCGTTTCTGGAAATTTCCCATTTTCTATGATTGTTCCCATTCTCTAATGATAAAGTCTATGGGAATTTCTCTCCCGTTTCTGGAAATTTCCCATTTTCTATGATTGTTCCCATTCTCTAATGATAAAGTCTATGGGAATTTCTCTCCCGTTTCTGGAAATTTCCCATTTTCTATGATTGTTCCCATTCTCTAATGATAAAGTCTATGGGAATTTCTCTCCCGTTTCTGGAAATTTCCCATTTTCTATGATTGTTCCCATTCTCTAATGATAAAGTCTATGGGAATTTCTCTCCCGTTTCTGGAAATTTCCCATTTTCTATGATTGTTCCCATTCTCTAATGATAAAGTCTATGGGAATTTCTCTCCCGTTTCTGGAAATTTCCCATTTTCTATGATTGTTCCCATTCTCTAATGATAAAGTCTATGGGAATTTCTCTCCCGTTTCTGGAAATTTCCCATTTTCTATGATTGTTCCCATTCTCTAATGATAAAGTCTATGGGAATTTCTCTCCCGTTTCTGGAAATTTCCCATTTTCTATGATTGTTCCCATTCTCTAATGATAAAGTCTATGGGAATTTCTCTCCCGTTTCTGGAAATTTCCCATTTTCTATGATTGTTCCCATTCTCTAATGATAAAGTCTATGGGAATTTCTCTCCCGTTTCTGGAAATTTCCCATTTTCTATGATTGTTCCCATTCTCTAATGATAAAGTCTATGGGAATTTCTCTCCCGTTTCTGGAAATTTCCCATTTTCTATGATTGTTCCCATTCTCTAATGATAAAGTCTATGGGAATTTCTCTCCCGTTTCTGGAAATTTCCCATTTTCTATGATTGTTCCCATTCTCTAATGATAAAGTCTATGGGAATTTCTCTCCCGTTTCTGGAAATTTCCCATTTTCTATGATTGTTCCCATTCTCTAATGATAAAGTCTATGGGAATTTCTCTCCCGTTTCTGGAAATTTCCCATTTTCTATGATTGTTCCCATTCTCTAATGATAAAGTCTATGGGAATTTCTCTCCCGTTTCTGGAAATTTCCCATTTTCTATGATTGTTCCCATTCTCTAATGATAAAGTCTATGGGAATTTCTCTCCCGTTTCTGGAAATTTCCCATTTTCTATGATTGTTCCCATTCTCTAATGATAAAGTCTATGGGAATTTCTCTCCCGTTTCTGGAAATTTCCCATTTTCTATGATTGTTCCATTCTCTAATGATAAAGTCTATGGGAATTTCTCTCCCGTTTCTGGAAATTTCCCATTTTCTATGATTGTTCCCATTCTCTAATGATAAAGTCTATGGGAATTTCTCTCCCGTTTCTGGAAATTTCCCATTTTCTATGATTGTTCCCATTCTCTAATGATAAAGTCTATGGGAATTTCTCTCCCGTTTCTGGAAATTTCCCATTTTCTATGATTGTTCCCATTCTCTAATGATAAAGTCTATGGGAATTTCTCTCCCGTTTCTGGAAATTTCCCATTTTCTATGATTGTTCCCATTCTCTAATGATAAAGTCTATGGGAATTTCTCTCCCGTTTCTGGAAATTTCCCATTTTCTATGATTGTTCCCATTCTCTAATGATAAAGTCTATGGGAATTTCTCTCCCGTTTCTGGAAATTTCCCATTTTCTATGATTGTTCCCATTCTCTAATGATAAAGTCTATGGGAATTTCTCTCCCGTTTCTGGAAATTTCCCATTTTCTATGATTGTTCCCATTCTCTAATGATAAAGTCTATGGGAATTTCTCTCCCGTTTCTGGAAATTTCCCATTTTCTATGATTGTTCCCATTCTCTAATGATAAAGTCTATGGGAATTTCTCTCCCGTTTCTGGAAATTTCCCATTTTCTATGATTGTTCCCATTCTCTAATGATAAAGTCTATGGGAATTTCTCTCCCGTTTCTGGAAATTTCCCATTTTCTATGATTGTTCCCATTCTCTAATGATAAAGTCTATGGGAATTTCTCTCCCGTTTCTGGAAATTTCCCATTTTCTATGATTGTTCCCATTCTCTAATGATAAAGTCTATGGGAATTTCTCTCCCGTTTCTGGAAATTTCCCATTTTCTATGATTGTTCCCATTCTCTAATGATAAAGTCTATGGGAATTTCTCTCCCGTTTCTGGAAATTTCCCAGACTTTATCATTAGAGAATGGGAACAATCATAGAAATTTCTGAAAGTGGTAATGACTTTGTTTATTATACATTGGAACAAATAAAAGAAACAGTAATGAGAAAAGTTTATTTCATATTACTGCCTTATTGCATAGATGATAAAAAGATGTCAATATGAGCTTATAATCCAATGTTGAGTGATAACCTGCTGACACTTTACCATGGCAGCAACAATCCTCCAGTGCATGTGGCAGTCACACTTTCATGCATTCTCTCCAACAATTAATCATGACATTGCAATGGCAGCCTCTAATCTGTTCCGAGCCAGATCAAAGGCCTCTGTCTGGGCAAGAATGCAAAACTAATCAAAGTCGGTAGACTATGGCAGTATGCAGTCAACATACCTGTTGGCAATATCAAGTCTTTCAGAACTGCGGCAGTACCCTTTGGGACTATTAATAAATAAGGCTTAAGTCCCATATTGCACAGTACTGAACTCTACTTCCAAAGGATGAGTTACAAAATAATGCCCTAATTATGCTTAACCTAAGGTAACCATCAGCATAATCTGATGCTGCTTTAAATTGCTCTTCTAAATTCTATAATAATACAACCCTAAGAAATTATTGTTCAGAATCAAGAAGTAAATTCATAACAATAGATAACAGATGTAACAAAACCTGGTTTATCCCAACTGACCAATTGCTGTTAAAACATTATATGATTTAAAAAAAATTAGTTGCATTAACTACTAAAGTTTGGATTAACCAGGTTTTCTGTAATCAAGCAGTCAACAACATGAAGGTAGACTATGAAGTGTCCTATAGAAAACAAATGGCTTAAAAGCCTGCACATAATACCAATATAAATCTGATATGCTGTATAGACTTTGCAAAGTATCTAGCCAACTAACTGTATGCATACTATTACATTTATTTAAAACTGCAATGTGTATGTCTGTATATAACAGTATATATATAAACACATACACTGCAGTAAAACTGACAGTCTGTCAAAGAAATTTTACATATGTAATCAAAATACATTTCTTTTCAGAGATTAGAAATGAAAATTTTACAGCTCCTCCAAATTGTATACACCATTTTGACATTTTGTATTTATATTGCCAATTGTTTTTCCTTGTTCAAGTGTTTTTTTTTCTTAGATTATTAAATGTATGTTTTTTATATAAATCACAAATGACCTGTTAAGAGGCCCAAAAATCACATTTCCATTATTTGCTGTTCGTGTATAATCTTCAGAATTTAATTCACCTGTCCCCATTATAACCCATCCTAAAAAAAAAAACTGCAATTCTATTAATGAATATTCAATGTCACACACTGGCTGCTCCAAGCATTTCCTGATTTTCAAGATCAATATTACAAATATTCTTCATAATCAAGTATGTGGTCTCTTACGTTCAGTTAACCTAAGCAGAGAGGATGCTCAGTTACCTGTTACTAAACCCAACGAATGATATACCTAACAATGAAAGATACATGTATTACCTACTTGCAACAGCAACTTCCTGTCCAGAAAATGCTTGGATCACCAAAATTCATAAAACCTCTTCAATGGCCTATGTACCTTTCGCATATTCTACAATACACAAGAAAACGCTAGTTTTCTTAGGAAGGCCTGCTGCACTTACTAAAGGGGGATAAAGGTGGTCAGAAAAAACAATTTAAATCAAAATACTCATACATGAAAACAAATTCAATAGAAAACTACCACAATCTCTAAAGGCCACACATTGGTGTAGTACTGTCCTACACTTACAGGCGAACAATTTAGTTGGTACTGCTATCAGCAATACAACAACTTTTTGAGTCCCATCGTATGTGTTCAATGAAAGCATTAGTAACTGACCACAATTAGCATTACTATTAACATGACATTGCAAATAAGCCTTCAAGTCATTAATAACAAAGACTTATAAGCAAGGACTGTTAAAAGTTTATCACTCTACAGAGCCATTCATTTGTAACAATTTAAATACACCAAAATTTCAAAATAAAAAAATGAACATTTTTCACTTAGACGGCAAAATAGTAAGTGCAACTGAACCACGAGCTTCTTTTAAAATAGCCACTGCATCGGCATGGGTCAGGCCAGCAAGAGATTGTCTGTTCACTTCCAGAATCTGATCCCCACGTCTTAGGGATCCCTCACGAGCTGCGGCACCTCGTTCAAACACACTTTTCACGTATATGGGGAGATCTCCCAATTGGATCCAAAGCCTCCGACGATGGAAAAACCAAGACCATCTTCTCGCCTTTCTAGCAAGATTGTCCTTATTCCCAATGGTTCCTGAGTCTCAAGTGGTGAATGTGGTGGCTGTCTTGTTGGGAGGTGATGTGGCTGGTGGAGGGAAGGGAGATGTGTGCGAGGAATGGGAACAGGTGGCTCTGTAGGTGGACTGCTGGAGCTATCTGGGGAACTGTCACTTATTGTTACTGGCCAAGTGCTGTTCCTGAAAAATATAGTAATAAATATTTTACATAAAGCTCAGAAGATATTTTGAATCATATTCATGCATTTATTTATAGTACCAGTTCATAACATTTTCATATTAAAGTACAAACCTCTATTTCCTGTGCATGTATGTGGATAAAAAAAACATAAAATTATTGACAAACCAGCAAATGTAAATAAATAATTTCCCAATGCAGTTGAAATTATTCAACATTATGGTCATAATAGTAGGTATCACCACTTACGCATTGTTATTAGAATTAGCTTTCTTGCCAGCCTTAAGTCGCCCTAACTTCATGGAAACTGAACCTGGTGCACACTTTAAAATGGCTGCCGCTTGCTCTTGTGTAGCCTGGCGAAGATCCTTATCATTTACCTCCAAAATCTGATCGCCTTGCATTAGCCGACCATCACTTTCTGCCACACCACCTGGAACCTGTTAATATGTTATATATAAGGAGGGGATTTGGAATATTGGCAGTTTGGAGGGACTTCTAAACTGTCGTATCTGAGCACCTCTGCAAAGACAGTGATTATGAATGAGTGATGGTGAAAGTAATGAATGATGTTTAAAGTAAAGTATTTTTATTTCTTTTAGGGTTTTTCTTTCTCTCTGGGTCACTCTGCCTCAGCGGAAAATGACCCCAATGTGTTAAAAAAAAAAAATTCTTATGACTGTGATTCAGGCTACAGTTAAATTTTTGAAACACATTACTGTCAAAAGTGTAATAAATTCAGTATAATCCTTGCAAATTTATTATTAACTGTTCAATTTGCTATTCATTGAAGAATTTATAGAAGGGGAGCTACCAGGGGGTGTCATGCTTATAAAAGCTCTCCAATTTTCCAACCAAAACAAATTGCCACATATAAAGAAGCTCTCCAATTTCACCAGCAGGGTATATAGAAGGAATCATCTAAAAACCTATTGAAAATCACTTCAAACACCCTCCAAAGACCAAAAGAAATTAGCACCACATCCCTCCATAATTAGAACAGCTACCAGTGTTTCACTGCCAGATGCATGATACCACAGCACTCCATTTCAAGCCTTCAAAATACACTTATAATGGTCAGCATACAAGCAATATGGCTGGAGGCAGAGGAATTGGATTAAAACAAAAATCCAAGCCCTACCAAGTGTGCAGAAGCTGGGCATTCAACACTGATGCAGGGCAGATAAAAAAAAATCCCCTCCAACTGATTTGACTAAGTGAACTTCTGGCTACCATTGAAAGGCAAAAAGATGAAATATGAACACTAAAAAGTAACTACACATATCTAAAAGTTCTTAATGATAATCAAGCTAACAAAATATCGGAACTGGAAACCACGCCAAGTCTGCAATTATACAAACAAAAATGTAATCCATTCAAAAATTCAGGGGTTTTGTACTCTATTTTGAAAGAATAAAAGAAATATGCAAAAATCTGGTATATGTTTAAGAAGCAAGCAAAAAATCACTTTGGTTTCACAATGAAATGTACAAGGTGCTAACTTTGAGTATATGTGCTTATCATATACTACTGGAGTTATAATTGCTAATATTGATTTAATGAATGGTACATGCAATTTTCATAGCCATAATATATAGTACAGCCTCTCCTCACTTAGTGTCATAATCGTTTACTGATGCCTCAGACTTACGACGGGCTCTCCGACCAGTATTCATACCTAAATAATGTATATTAGAGCTGATTTCTTCTATTCTGTTATTTCAATATACAGTACACTACTGTATGAACATTTAAAAATATACCAGAAATGTTATAAATGGTGCAAAGTTGACATTAAAACAATATCAAAGACGGTTGACAAACTCGCTACCATTTTTATTTTATTATCACACTGGCCGATTCCCACCAAGGCAGGGTGGCCCGAAAAAGAAAAACTTTCACCATCATTCACTCCATCACTGTCTTGCCAGAAGGGTGCTTTACACTACAGTTTTTAAACTGCAACATTAACACCCCTCCTTCAAAGTGCAGGCACTGTACTTCCCATCTCCAGGACTCAAGTCCGGCCTGCCGGTTTCCCTGAACCCCTTCATAGGGAACTCATTTAATTCATTTAACGACGTGATCTCAGGAACAGAACTCCGTCGTTAAGTGAGGAGAGGCTGTATATGAAATAACTAAGCTATATATTCAGTAAAATAAGGCTATATTTGAGTTTCTGAACCCAGTCAACAAATTTTGATACCACAGTGACCAGTCTACAAAAGATATTTCTGGAGATATGACATTTACCTAAAAAATGTGCAAACTCTGAAAAAGATCTGTCTAATTAAAGCTCTCCAGAGTTGAAATGTCTACCCAAGATTTTTTATTATGAATTAGTTATGTAACCCACAAAAACAAGAAAATTCTGAGTTCACAATTCTGTTTTGCATTTTCTTAGTGTTAAGGCATGACTAATGGGTTACTCTAACTTGCTATGTGTAGTTTAGTCAAATCCTTCTATTATTAAAAATAGTAAGCTAACCTACATTTATTACAAAACTGTTTTGGCTTGGAGATAAATTAAAAAAAATTTAATTTATCTTCTTTCTTTCAATGCACCGGCTGTATCCCACCGAGGCAGAGTGGCCCAAAAGTAAAAACAAAAGTTTCTCCTTGTACATTTAGGAATATATACAGGAGAAGGGGTTACTAGCCCCTTGCTCCTGGCATTTTAATCGCCTGTTACAACACGCATTGGAGGAAGAATTCTGTTCCACTTCCCCGTGGAAATAAACAAGAATAAGAACATGCTTGTACATGCATGTGTAGTGTGACCTAAATGTAAGTAGAAGTAACAAGACATACCTGAAATCTTGCATGTTTTTGACACAGAAAAAAGACACCAGCAATCCTACCATCATGTAAAACAATTACAGGCTTCCGGTGTACACTCACTTGGCAGGCCAGTAGTACCTCCCTAGGTGGCTGCTGTCTACCAACTTACTACCTAGGAATCTTGATTTATATCATAATTAAATTATTTACCAGTCAATCTAGACTGCAGGGGCAGTGACCCCTGGAACACCCTTCAGGTAGGTTGACCTACATTATAATTACGATATTAATTATTATAGGGAAATGCTAAACCCACAGGGGTCATATAGCCCCTGGGTAATGAAAGGCAATTGGGTTCAGTTCAAAGAAGGGTAGAAAGGGTTAAACTCCTTGGAACAAGAGTCCCTTGAGGGGGATACACACCTAGATAACATTAAACATTTTAAAGTTGTCTTTTAAAGACAAATGATCAATATTTTTAAAATGTGGAATAAATTTTCAAATGCAAAATCTTAAATTGTTTAAGAAGGTATACTTACCACATCAGATATAAAAACACCAGGTCCATTCTTGCGTCCAACTATTGAAAGGCCCAGGCCCTTCCCAGACTTCTTGGTGAGCTGGACGGTGATAGTATCATAGAGGTCCTCTTCCTTTTGCGTTCCTTCTTCACGGTAAACCACCATTTTCACCTATCACACCAAAAGTCTTTCATTATTTTTTGTTTTAACTGTGAATACAACCATAAAAACCACATGAAACTACACCACAAATTCGCTGCATTACAAAAAAACATGGTTGCAGTTTTTTCTTATTATGCACTGCGTGCTGCAGCATTTTTTTTTATATGGTGCACACTTACCACACAGACCCAGTCTCTCAAATCTAGGGCCAAATTTACTGCTCACAGCTTATCTCAATGAGCTGAGCTCATGGCAGAGTTCTATGGCACTGACCAGAAGTTCAAAACCATAGAACTATGGCACTGACTCTCAAAGGGTTAATGCAAGTTCAAGAGCAGTAAAGAGAACACTACATGGTTAATCTAAGGAAGCAGTGAAGTCCAGAACAGATTCCTGGAGGGATTTCAACTGAAAGAAGTCAGAAGATAGGGGTGGCCCACAGAAAACCTGGACCAAGTGACATCCTACTGCCTTTGCAGCTTCAACTGAATCTGCTAATTCCATTATATTTATATTATATTATCACACTGGCCGATTCCCACCAAGGCAGGGTGGCCTGAAAAAGAAAAACTTTCACCATCATTCACTCCATCACTGTCTTGCCAGAAGGGTGCTTTACACTACAGTTTTTAAACTGCAACATTAACACCCCTCCTTCAGAGTGCAGGCACTGTACTTCCCATCTCCAGGACTTGAGTCCGGCCTGCCGGTTTCCCTGAACCCCTTCATAAATGTTACTTTGCTCACACTCCAACAGCACGTCAAGTATTAAAAACCATTTGTCTCCATTAACTCCTATCAAACACGCTCACGCATGCCTGCTGGAAGTCCAAGCCCCTCGCACACAAAACCTCCTTTACCCCCTCCTTCCAACCTTTCCTAGGCCGACCCCTACCCCGCCTTCCTTCCACTACAGACTGACACACTCTTGAAGTCATTCTGTTTCGCTCCATTCTCTCTACATGTCCGAACCACCTCAACAACCCTTCCTCAGCCCTCTGGACAACAGTTTTGGTAATCCCGCACCTCCTCCTAACTTCCAAACTATGAATTCTCTGCATTATATTCACACCACACATTGCCCTCAGACATGACATCTCCACTGCCTCCAGCCTTCTCCTCGCTGCAACATTCATCACCCATGCTTCACACCCATATAAGAGCGTTGGTAAAACTATACTCTCATACATTCCCCTCGTTGCCTCCAAGGACAAAGTTCTTTGTCTCCACAGACTCCTAAGTGCACCACTCACCCTTTTCCCCTCATCAATTCTATGATTCACCTCATCTTTCATAGACCCATCCGCTGACATGTCCACTCCCAAATATCTGAATACATTCACCTCCTCCATACTCTCTCCCTCCAATCTGATATCCAATCTTTCATCACCTAATCTTTTTGTTATCCTCATAACCTTACTCTTTCCTGTATTCACTTTTAATTTTCTTCTTTTGCATACCCTACCAAATTCATCCACCAATCTCTGCAACTTCTCTTCAGAATCTCCCAAGAGCACAGTGTCATCAGTAAAGAGCAACTGTGACAACTCCCACTTTATGTGTGATTCTTTATCTTTTAACTCCACGCCTCTTGCCAAGACCCTCGCATTTACTTCTCTTACAACCCCATCTATAAATATATTAAACAACCACAGTGACATCACACATCCTTGTCTAAGGCCTACTTTTACTGGGAAATAATTTCCCCCTTTCCTACATACTCTAACTTGAGCCTCACTATCCTCGTAAAAACTCTTCACTGCTTTCAGTAACCTATCAGCAACATTAAGAGTTTAGTTGCTTCAGAAGGGTACTCACCTGCTAATTTACATATTTTTTTTCCATACTGCACTCAGGAGTGGTGTCATTTAAGAACATAAGAAAGAAAGAACACTGCAACAGGCCTACTGACCCATGCGGAGCAGGTCCATGTCCCCCCCCCCAGATTAGCCCAATGACCCACCCAGTCTAGTCACCTCCACTCAAGGATGGAGCACTGCACCAGACCCAGCAGCACAAGCTAGTCAGGTCCAACTCACACCCACCCACACCCACTCATGTACATATTTATCTAACCTATTTTTAAAACTACATAATGTTTTAGCCTGAATAACTGTACTCGGGAGTTTGTTTCACTTATCCACAACTCTATTACCAAACCAGTGCTTTCCTATATCCTTCCTGAATCTGAATTTTTCCAACTTGAAACCATTGTTGCGAGTCCTGTCTTGGCTGGAAATTTTCAGCACGCTATTTATATCCCCTTTATTTATTCCTGTTTTCCATTTATACACCTCGATCATATCCCCCTAATTCTACGCCTTTTGAGAGAGTGCAGATTCAGGGCCCTCAGTCTATCCTCATAGGGAAGATTTCTGATACATGGGATCATCTTTGTCATCCTCCTCTGTACGTTTTCCAGAGCATTTATATCCATTCTGTAATACGGTGACCAGAACTGAGCAGCATAGTCTAAATGAGGCCTAACCAAGGATATATAGAGTTGGAGAACAACCTGAGGACTTCTATCATTTATACTTCTAGATATGAAGCCAAGAATTCTGTTAGCTTTACTGCGAACACTAATGCACTGTTGTCTTGGTTTTAGATTACTGCTAACCAGAACTCCTAAATCCTTTTTGCAATCAGTAGTATTAAGATCTACATTATTTAGTTTATATGTGGTATGGTTATTTAACTGTCCAACATTTAGAACTTTGCATTTGTCAGTATTAAACTGCATCTGCCACTTCTCTGACCATTGCATCAGTCTATTCAAATCATCCTGGAGTGCTCTAGTGTCCTCATTAGAATGAATTGGACGGCCTATTTTGGTGTCATCAGCAAATTTGCTTATGTCGCTATTTATTCCCTCATTTATGTCGTTTATGTAAATTGTGAACAACGGGCCCAACACTGACCCCTGAGGAACACCGCTTGTGATGTGCCCCCATTCTGATTCTCCCCATTTATGCAAACTCTCTGCTGCCTATTTGTCAGCCATGCCTCTACCCAGGAAAAAATTTCTCCTCCTATTCCATGTGCCTTAAGTTTCCTCAATAGCCTCTGGTGTGGAACTCTATCGAAAGCCTTACTGAAGTCCATATACACTATCATATTCATTACCATGATCTACCTCCTCAAACACCTTAGTGAAAAAAGTTAGTAAATATGTAAGACAGGAACGCCCCTTTGTAAAACCGTGTTGAGATTCATTAATCTGTGCCTGTCAAGATGGCTACGAATTGCTTCGGCAGTTATTGATTCCATAAATTTTCCCACTATGGAGGTAAGGCTTATTGGTCTATAGTTCGAAGCCAAGGACCTGTCACCTGCCTTGTAAATAGGTATTACATTTGCCATTTTCCAATTATCAGGCACTATACCAGTTTGTAGTGATATGTTAAAAAGATTAGCAAAGGTATGCTAAGTTCCTCTTTACATTCCTTTAACACCCTTGCAAACAGTTCATCAGGACCTGGGGATCTGTTAGGTTTTAGTTTCTCTATTTGTCTGAGGACCATGTCACTAGTTACCGCAATCGTACATAGTTTATCATCATCCTGTTCTACGTAATCTATTATTTCAGGAATATCACTAGTATTTTCCTGGGTGAAAACTGAGAGGAAGTAGGTACTGAGAATTTCACACATATCCTTATCACTGTCAGTGATCTGACCAGAGTTACTCTTAAGTGGGCCAATCTTGTCCCTAATCTTGCTTCTGTATACCTGAAAGAACCCTTTTGGGTTTGTCTTTGAATCCCTTGCGACCTAAGCCTCATAATCCCTTTTTGCTTTTCTTATTCCTTTTTTTATTTCTCTCTTTAATGGAATATATTGATTTTTTAACTGCCTATCCCCTCTTTTGATACGCCTATATATGCCTCTCTTTTGACCAGCGAGATGTTTTAATCTATTGTTCATCCATTTGGGATCATTTTTGTTAATCTAATTTCCCTACTCGGAACAAAAGTTGTCTGGGCAACTAGAACTATGCTCTGAAAAACGTCATATTGGCAACCAAGACCACCTACCTGACCCATAGTCAGGACATCCCAATTTAGCCCACCCAGGTAATTTTTCAGTCCCATGAAGTCGGCCAAGCGAAAATCTGGGACAGAGATTTGATTGCAGTTATCTGGGTAATTCCATGATATATTGAAACTAAGTGATTTGTGATCACTTTCCCCAAGCTCATCATTAATCTCAAGATTATTAATTAGTGAATCTTTGTTGGCAAGATCCAAGTCAAGCAGACTGTTTCCTATAGCTGGTTCTGTCACAACCTGTTCTAAAAAGCAATCCTGAACCGTATCAAGAAAGTCACTAGACTCAAGATTTCCTGTCGTATTGTTCCAATCAATTTGTCTAAAGTTAAAATCTCCCATTATCACATCTAGATGCCTTATGAATTTCGTCCCATAACAGCTTACTGCCCTCCCAAAATTAATTTGTCATGTCCCTTGAGAAACTGTAGCCAAACAGATTCTGTGTTTGATGTTTCTAATCTTATATCATGTCTAAGACAACAATTTAAATTTTCTCTGACATACATTGCCACACCACCACCCTTCCTGTTGACTATCAGTGTGGAATAGTTTATAACCCTGTATGTTGCCTTCAGAAGGCATTTCTCTATTTTTCAGGTTGAACCAGGTCTCTGTTATACCAATAATATCTATATTACCTACACTTGCAAGTAATCTTAGCTCATCTATCTTATTTCTTAGATTCCTACTATTTGTATAGTAAACCTTAAGGGAGCTAGTCACTCGTTGCCCTCTTCTATCTCTCTGTTTGTTGATCAATTGATTTGCCATTACTAGCAACTTTATTTTGAATATTGTCTTTTAAGCATAACCCTGAGGTATCCCGGTAATAACTGCTGTTTTTAACCTTAATGCTGCAGCCTGATTGTTTCCCACAAATAACCATACCTCTATAATCTATCAGTTTAAATTCCTAGACAAGTCATTAGTTACCCTCTCAATTGAATTGGCTAATGCAACCACTCCATTCCCAGAGAGATGAACCCCATCCCTTGCATACATATCACGTTTGCCAAAGAATAGGTCCCAGTTATCAATGAATGGGATTGCAAGTTCCTTGTAGTACCTGAATAAGCACATATGAAGTGATACAGAAAATGGAGATAAGGAGTATAGGAACAAAGAACAGAGAAGCAGATGTTGTCACCAAGACTGTTTACTACTTTCCCACAGACAGTATTAATTATTTCAAATTAATAATTAGGGAATTCACAACTAATTTCTGCAGATATCTGGTTATAATTAATTCAGGGACTTCGATAATACTGTAATAACTTGACAGATTAACCCCTTGACTGTCGCAACCCCTAATCCTGAGGTGTCTCCTGGTGTTGCAAAATTTAAAAAAAAAAAAATTATTTTTTTCTTATGAAATGATAGAGAATCTTTTCCCAACTGTAATGCCACCAAAAAAACGAAATTTGATGGAAAGCTGACGGAATTACGCTCTCGCAAAGTTAGCGACCTCGGTGATATGTACAAATTGGTGATTTCACCCACTTGGAGCCCTATTTTCGGCTAATTCTGTTGTTCCAGTCGACCAAACTCATAGCTATTTCTTTAGAACTCCGTTTTTTCAATCGATTGAGTACAATAAACTGCCCATTTACCAATTTCAACTACCCAATAACGTGGTCAGAAATTTGCAATTTGGCCAATTTCACGAAAATTAAAAAATATGACAATTTCAAAATAAGGTCCAGAATGAACAATGCAGACATTCCTGGCTCTAAAATAACATTTTCTTTGTTCATCAATCATGTCTCCAGGCCCCTCTGATATTACTCTTGCTTTCTATTTTGAATTTTTATTCAAACAAAAAAATAGAAGATTTACTGTTATGCAGACTACTGCAATATTGTAACAGTTGTACAAATAATGTCAACCCATTCATGACTGCATAATAGAATGGCTAGTTGGATATTTATTGGACAATGACATTTGTTTACTTTTGAACATCGGCAAAAATCAAACATTTCCCCTACTTTGAGCTCCATTTCCAGGCTCTTTTTATAGTAAAACCAACCAAAATTACCTCTATTTCTATAATATGTTTTGCATTCTATCAAATGAGACCAAGAAAACGAGAATACAAACAAAAATACTATACGAAAATAGACCACAAAGTCGGCATTTTAATTACAAAAAACGGTCAGTTTTTTTTTTCTCATTATGCACTGCGTGCTCCAGAATTTTTTTTATATGGTGCACACTGACCACACAGACCCATTCTCTCGCATGTGAGCCCACCAGCTTTCTCCTGCTTGATTTGAAGCCACTAAAATTTATGAGTACAGTGGACCCCCGCATAACGATTACCTCCGAATGCAACCAATTATGTAAGTGTATTTATGTAAGTGCGTTTGTACGTGTATGTTTGGGGGTCTGAAATGGACTAATCTACTTCACAATATTTCTTATGGGAACAAATTCGGTCAGTACTGGCACCTAAACATACTTCTGGAGTGAAAAAATATCGTTAACCGGGGGTCCACTGTATATATACGTCAAACACGGTACCTCGTAAGACGTATATATACGACCGAAACAGTCAAAGGATTAAAACTGTAAGCTTACTTGACAAATACAACACCCTAAGTAATCTAAAATATTGTTTTGTTAATAATTGTATACTATAACTAACAGGCCTACACATAAAGTACTTTTAAATAAATACTGAACACCATTATAATGGATAATACTGACTACATACATCTAATAAATTAGTATACAGGCTTTCCTCACTTAGCGACACACTCATTTACCAACAACTCAGACTTATGACGGGCTCTCTGACCAGTATGCATACCTACATAATGTATATTAGAGCTGATTTCCTCTATTCTGTTTATTACAATATGCAGTACACTACTGTATAAACATTTTAAAAATATTATAAATGGTACAAAGGTGACATTAATACAATATCAAAGATGGTCGACACAAACCCACTACCATCACAGTATGCTCCTTGCTTAGCGACAAATTTGTTTACCAACCTGGTCTTAGGAATGGAACTCCGTCGTTAAGTGAGGAAAGGCTTTTAGTGAATTTTCTAGTAATGAGAGAAACTTCAACCCAATATTTAACTTACTAAATTTAGTTTAGTAACAATGCAATAGTGAACTACATGTTAGTGAAGTGATCTTGGCTGCACTACCCATATGCCTACCACACTGCCCCTTATTGTATGTATTAATATACCCACTTAGTACAAAAAAAAAAAGGGGGGGGGGGGCAGAAACTAGTTTAGTTAGTTCCGATGTTAAACTGTGTTCTAGAAGTGGTACACTATATAAATAACTAACCATTTCAACATTTATATAGACACAATGCAGAATTTATTAACCAAGTGGTTTAAAAATGGGCAGTTAAACCATGATCATTTCCCATCATCAAAAAAAAAAAAAAAAAAAAGATGGATAACATTAAATTCCCACAATTTCAGTATGTTACACGATTTACTACAAAATTTAATTACCATTTAACTTAATATCTTACCTTATCCTTTACCATAACGAAAAAAGAACAAAATTGATAAAATAAATCAGTTTAAGGATGAAAATCATTTGAAAGGTGTTAAGTCTAAAATATAAAAATTAAACATAATACCTACTAATAGAAAAAAATGCCGAGAAAAACAAATGTAATGATTTAAATAAACTGCTTTAATATTAACTTCTGAACACTACAAATGACAACACATTTTCATCTAAGTTTCTTTTAAAATAGTGGTACCCCGAATTTCGTACAGCCTCCAACTCGAACAATTATGTAAGTGTATTATTGTAAGTGCTTTTGTATGTGTATTTTTGGGGGCCCGAAATGGATTAATCTAATTTACATTATTATATATGGGAACAAATTTATTTGGTAACGGCCCTTGAACATCCTTCTGGAATGAACTATGGCCGAAACTCGGGGTACCACTGTATATGTGTATTTTTCCTTTAGCAAGTTAATTGCCTACTTTCACTTCCATTTTAATTATAAAACAAAAAAAAAAAAACGTTAAAAATAACTTATTAATAACATAACTGATAGTCTTGGTGATAAGATTGTAACTTTGTCTTAATTACAAGATTATGTATAACTTGCTCTACTGTATTTTACTAAGTTTTCATATTTATGCCAGGTGGTGATATTCAATCCTATAAACATAGTGATGAATGGGATATAGTAATTCACTTTATAATGAACTTCCCATAATGTTATTCTGTTACAAGAGCCTCAAAAAGTGCAAGCATCTTGATAAGACCACAAAACATTGATATTACATGTCATAGTCTAAAATAAATTAAGTCCAGCGAGACCTGACTTAGCTTATGCCTACACAGTGCATTTCCCAAGGTAAGGGGATCCAATAAAAGAAGCAGCCACCATCATTCATTCAATAGCCATTTTGCTAGACAAGAGCTAACATCACAATTAATATTACCCTGCAAACTGCACCCCCCCCCCCCCCCCCGGACCAATGAAGAACTCGAACACAAGTCCATACCTCAAATAAATAAATAAATAAAGATTAAAGGAGGCTGCATTTACATTTTATATTCACTTTCATTATATTTTCCTTAACCCCATCAGACATTTCCCATCAAGGTGGGGCAACCCAAAGAAGGAAATATTTATGTTCCACCTTGTTTTCTTTAACATCACTGGCCACATGAAAGAAGCATTCATTAACACTCATACAATATACGTACAACAATTTTTCCTGAAGGGCACAGACTGCCTTTTTTCTTTCTTAACTGTATATAAAACATGCCATAGCTTACATTCTTTAGTGCAATTTGCTTACCTTTGAGGGAGTCTGCCGTAGGACACTCAGAGCCTTCTGGTGAGTTATTTCTCTAAAGTTTTCATTATTCACATTCAGAATCTGGTCACCAGGTTTCAGTCGTCCATCCTTAGCAGCTGCACCATCAGGATAGACTTCGTGGATAATTATAGCACCCTGCCAATCACAATTATCCATTTAGAATTAAAAAATATCCTACAATTTGTAAATACAGCCTCTCCTCACTTAGGGACGTACTCGTTTACCGACGACTCGGGCTTACGATGGGCTCTCTGACCAGTATGCATTCCTAGATAATGTATATTAGAGCTGATTTCCTCTATTCTGTTTATTACAATACGTATACAGTGCACTACTGTATAAACATTTAAAAATATGCCAGGAATGTTATAAATGGTGCAGAAGTGACATTAAAACAATATCCGAGATGGCTGATACAAACCCACTACCATTATAACATGCTCCTCACTTGGCGACGAATTTGTTTACCGACAGTCTTAGGAACGGAACTCCATCGTTAAGAGAGGAAAAGCTGTATATACAAAATCTATAGACTTAATGTTAGAGATAACTGATTTTGCTTCTGTTCACAGTAATACAGAATCAGAAAATTAAAAAAATTAAAATTAAAATTGTAATGTTAGAAATGCTGTGCACACTTTAATGTCAGTTGAAATGCTTTAATTTTTTTTTTTATACACACTGGCCCTCTGGCACTGTATATAATTAATACATAGTCAGTTCATTTTACTCATCCAGAAATTGCATTTTCAATAAATTGTAATTGATTTTTTTTTTTTTTTTTTTTTTGCCCAAATTCACATTTCATGGGAAACTTCCCTCACATTACCATCACAAAGGTTGGAAAATAAAAGGCACGAGTCCCTTTTTCATGCAAAATCCAGCTTGTTTGCAGTGGGATATTTTTCCCACCAAGTAGAGTGACCCAAAAAGGAATTAACGCTAACCAATCATTTCATCACTGTCTTCCCAGAGGTGCACCGACATTATAGCTCTAAACTCCAATGTCCTCACACACCTTCAGAGTGCAGGCACTGTACTACCCACCTCCAGGACTCAAGTCCAGCTAACCAGTTTCCTTGAATCCCTTCATAAGTGTTAACTTGCTCACACTCCAACACACATTTGCTGTTGGATTTATTCCTACTGAAGGCATATGGTCTTAGCCAGTCTCCAATTTGAAATTTACTGCATATGCTATGCAGTATGCTGTATACTTCTGCTGTCCATGTAGCTCTGGGTTTAAGGCTTTAGATATCTAATGGTTTTACTAACAAGGACTGCTACAGGGCAGTGGTGATTACAGTCTGCCCAATGGAGGAGGACCAGTCATCTATCAATGTTGGTATCCTTTTCATGATTTTCGCATATGACTTCTTTCTCTGAGCCTGACCTCAGGGTGCCCATTTGTCTAATCAGCTAGTATATATCACTATTTTAACACTGTATATCTGAATATATCTGAGGCATATTTTGCAGATATATTCAAAACTTGGGACAATAAATTAATGCTTAACCCTTAAACAGTCCAAACAGATCGACGTTCAAATTCGTAGTGCTCCAAAAGTAGATCTACTTTTTTTACATATTTTCAAATATAACAAAAAAAATGTACATAAAGTTTTTTTTTACACGTTTTCAAATGTAAAACAAAAACGAAGATCTACATTTTTTTTTACATGCTTTCAGATGTTGAAAAAACGTATATAGTATACGTTTGGACCATTTAAGGGTTAAACTAAGTCTTACTCTTGCCAATGAAGCTTACACATCCTGCCATATCTATCGTTCTTTTTACCACCAATGATGACTTAAGGATTATCTAATATTTGAATGCTTCAAAACAATCTAGTACCTTATTTATTATTTTTTACACAAATAAACTTTACCGGCCAAGAACTGATATCCTACCTCAGTTCATTTCAAAGACCCAGCCCTATCTAACGTATATTACCATCCCCCAGGATACGACAACAGTCAACTAACACCCAGGTACCTACTTATTGCTAGGTGAACAGGGGCAACAGGTGTAAAGAAACATGCCCAACATTTTCACCTTTGCTGGGCATAGAACTGAGGACACTCAGTGTAAATGGCTGAAGTAGTTTACATTATTTTTATTGTCCACAAGTCGTACCTTTCATATCTGTATATACCATATTTCGCAGCTTATTAGACACTTTTTTCCATAAAATGTCTCCAAAAACCACCCTGTGTCTTATAAACTGAAGGTCAGTGATGGGAGCTATAAGTTTGGGGTGTGGGGTGGGATGTAGCTCTTCCAGTTACATTGATGCCGAGCCATTGAAACTACAACAAGTCTTATAAGCCGCGAACTACAGTAAATATTTTTTATTCCTTTTCTCTTTGAGGGGGAAGACTTTTGACACAATGTATGATATGCTTGTAGCTCAGTTCATCAGGCTGGATAGTAAATAAACAAGTGACTGCATGGACCAAGCCTCACATTTGGCTAGACACCTCAAGTCAAGGGATTCGTTATCATAATAGGGTATACCATATCATAATTATACATGGTTTACCTGTAGTTGGGGGCACATACATAGAGGGGGGCAACCCACTGCTACTGCAGCCTGGTCCCAGACCAAGCTCTAGTTATATCCAAATCAATCAGGCTGTTGGTGCTGGCCACAAACCATCCAATGTAGAAACCACAACCCAGATGATCAAAACCTGACTTAAGTAATTTATCAAGTTTCAAAACTTCTTGAAGACAGCTACAGCTGTATTGGTAATTCCCCTCGATATGGTATCTGATACAACAGATTACACATGGGTTTGGTACATCATATATCCATGTATTTAGGTACAAGGGTTGCCTCTTTTACCAGCAGGCACAATTAACACTTCCAGGATTATTATGATGAATTTTTATGTTTTGCCGCATCAAAAAATGAAAAAACTTGCCGTATACTTGTTCAGGATGTTATCCTTGTATGTACTAGGAAATGCAAGAGATGAATTTTAAACATTAAAAATATCATGCATTATATCTTGATTTTCATATTCTATTCGCTTGAAATGAGAATAAATGAAAAACATTTTGAGCTTTAAAGTTAAGGTCTAATTTTATGGTACTTATTTAATAAAAACAGAGCCCATTGCTTTTCACACTTGTGAGATTCAATTTCTCTTATCCCCACAGCACAGCAGCAGGTAAAGGGAAAAATTGTATACACAATGTAATAAATCAAAGCAGGTTATGCTTCTACCATTATTAATGTACTGCTCTTCCATAAGGAAAACAATATTTTTCAAATAAAAGTTTACATAGTCATTCACATCTAACATCTGCAAGACGACAGAAATCCTTTAACACTGAAAACAACTGCATTTAATTGTTAATTTTCATACTTACTCGCTATTTTGTGGACATTCGTGAGAAGTAAGGAAAGAAGAAAAACTGTGGTTAATATTTCAATATTAAAACAATCACAAAACAATGAATTATTTGTTGAACAATTTACTCATCCACCTCCCTAACCAGCTCATGCCCAATGACTATCATAAAATTAACTAAAATCTGAAAATGTAAAAAAAAACACAAACGTATAATTTTTATTGGAACCAATAATTTTGTTCCACACTATATCATAACATAACGCACATTGTCAAAGTAGAATGATATACAATAATCGGTAGTAATCCCTTTTAGGAACCAAAAAGTCCTAGGTAAAATGAGTTGCTAATAATAGTAACTTCTCCTAAGGCAAACAAGTGCCCATAAACTAAAGACTGTTGAAAAAGCAATGCCAGTACTATACTACAATGCACATTTTCTGATGTATGCATTTTAGCTGACTTACCCATGTATAATCAAGTCCAAAAATTTGCAAGGGATAGATCTAGAGATTCCTAGGTAGTAGGTTGGTAGACAGCAACTGCCTAGGAGGTACTACTGTCCTGCCAAGTGAGTGTAAAACGAAAGCCTGTAATTGTTTTACATGATGGTAGGATTGCTGGTGTCCTTTTTTCTGTCTCATAAACATGCAAGATTTCAGGTACGTCTTGCTACTTCTACTTACACTTAGATCACACTACACATACATGTACAAGCATATATATACACACCCCTCTGGGTTTTCTGCTGTTTTCTTTCTAGTTCTTGTTCTTGTTTATTTCCTCTTATCTTCATGGGGAAGTGGAACAGAATTCTTCCTCCGTAAGCCATGCATTTGTAAGAGGCGACTAAAATGCCAGGAGCACGGGGCTAGTAACCCCTTCTCCTGTATAAATTACTAAATTTGAAAAGAGAAACTTTTGTTTTTCTTTTTGGGCCACCCTGCCTCGGTGGGATACGGCCAGTTTGTTGGGGAAAAAAAAAAAAAAAAAAAAAAAGCTCTAGAGATTCTTGCAAATTTAGTGGCAATATCTCTTAAATATGACTAATTTGATTAATATTAGCATTCTCATGATGTTTGAAAAGGAGAGAGATCTGGCTAGGACAAAATCCATTGAGCATGTTCTCAACAATATCCAAGGGTTAACTAAGTCGATGAAGGGCAGATGAGCACCAAACAAGCCAGGCCCAAGACCAGGCTCTGGGAATTGAAAAACTCTTGAAACTCATCAAAGGTAAAAGTATCAATATATCAAAGCTCCTGCAATAAACAGTTGGACCTGATGCCATGCTTTTCTGGTCCTTGCCAGGTCAACCTGATTGTTGCTGTTAGTGGTCCACTGGCCCACATCTATCACTACCTGACTGATCTGACACTGGTGGAGGTAATGATCGAGTTTTCCTTTAAAGAGTAAATTCCTGTAATATGTCTAGGCCCACAAATGTTAACACTTTACTTATCCTGCCCATGGCACCCCTGCCCTTCACACTGGGTTAATTTTCAACTTCCTCCATATCTCCAATTCCAGAACATAATAATAGTGAGTAGGTTTGGGGACCAAGCCCATGAGTATCTTCCATATACAGTGGTACCTCACTTAAGCAGGTGGGGATATAGTTTTGGAGTGGTTGGTGCAATTATTTAATAAATGTATGGAAGAGGGTAAGGTACCTAGGGATTGGCAGAGAGCATGCATAGTTCCTTTGTATAAAGGCAAAGGGGATAAAAGAGTGCAAAAATTATAGGGGGATAAGTCTGTTGAGTATACCTGGC